TGGAAAGCAAGCTAGGTGAATGGAGTCCACTAGTTCATTTAAAGGAAAGAAGATGAAAGAATATAATACCATTACAGATATCAGACGAAAGGTGTTAAAAGAGGAACTCTGCAGAGCAGCAGAGACATTTGGGGAAAAGATAAGAAATTAGAGAGCGAGGAAAGACAACAGGAGTTGAGCTGACAATTTGGCCTGGATGTCAGCATAGATTAAAAAGCAGTTGAGAGTTAAGGAATATTTAGCACTGGTACACATTAAGAATGTCTTCAGAACATCAAAACATAAAAGAATAAAAAAATCAGTATCAGTAAGCAAAGTTTTTTCCAGTTCCAGTCCCTCACTCTAAAGTAATTTGTAACAAAGCAAGGAACTGGTTGCAGGAGTAAGAAATTGCAGGTGATCTTTCCTGGTGTCAGTCCCACTGTGCGTCATGCTGAAAGACAAAGACTGGAAGATGTGACAGTTGTTATGCCTAATTGAAACAGACAGATTCAACACAACATGTAGAAATAGAAAAAGCATCATGGACATCTATGATCAAATTTACATGTCAGTACTTCTAGCATATTCTATTACGAAAGATAAAGGTGGTCAAATTCGATGTGGTTATGCTTAACTAATATGCTTTGCTTTTTGATGGTGAACTGATGAAGAAGCAGGAAGAGTTGAGTACACAATGATTCCTCAGGTAAGCAAGATGCTAGGATAAACATGCTACTCCTGCCAATCAAAACACTTTTCTACCTTAAAACTTAGAAATACTGATCCCATTGAAGTCAGCCACAATATTCTTAGAAACAAACTGGGTCAGATTTTTTCTTTTTTAGTCTGTAGCTGTACATCTCTTCAGGTAACACCTGAAATAGCACCAGCTATATTCAAAACATTAATGGCTGTTTTTTACTGAGGAGAGTCCTTGGAAGAGACCTATTTTATGGGTGTTTTGTAGTCTTTTATGATGTGCTCATGAAAAGTACTTCTAACTAAAAAAAGATACTGCAACGGGTCCAAAAAGCAATGCTGACTGTAAGATTAGGGAAGGAGATGTTAATGGGGGAAGAGACTTTATATCTGTCAGACACACTGGAAAGTGTTTTCTTAAACCTCACATGTCCAAATTCTCCTAAAAATGATCACCACAGTTCAAAGATAATCTCTTATAGATGTATTACAGAGGTTTAAGTTTATTCTAGACTTTTCTTCACTAATAAAACAACCAATAATATTGTATTAGCAAAGAAGTGCTTTGAACAGAGTAAGTAAAATTGATTTTGTTATGGGTTATGCAATGTCCTTGAGACAATTCATTAAGGCTTAGCTGTAGCTCAGCTTGATGACAGGTAGCTCTTCCTGGCTTATGTCTTGCACCTTGCAATCCTTCCAGAGAGCTCTGCTCCCTCGGTGGAGAGGGCTGCAGAGAGAGGCAAAATTGATCCTGCCTTTTAGAAATAAGTCTCATAAAAACCATGACAGACCATTTTTTACAGGATAGTCTATGATGTAATGGTGGAAGCGATGGAGTATGAGAGTTGAGTGAGTGCTGGATTTAAGGCTGACTGCCTATTACAGTAAATGCACCAAGATACTTGCTTCTTTTACATTCCCTTCAACACTGCACTGGGACAGCACAGCAAACATCGAATGCCTGAGATCCATCAGAGCCAATGTCTGCTGACTTTGCAAGGACAATACAAGGCTCCTCTCTCTAGTACGTGGATTGAGAGCTGTTGGCAAGGTGAAGTCTGAAGGCTATGGGGAATTTCAGCCTTTCCTTAACCCCAGGAGACGGAAAAACTAAAAATCAGTGACAGCTACAATTTAAACCAAAATGAGCACCAAAATAAGTCACACTCATCATCTCTATTTAGAGTAGGGAGGAAGGATTAGAACTGGATTCTTTTTCTGGTGATATTCTAATTTATATACAGTGTTTTAATTATTACATGTTCTCATTAGCATATGTTTCAAATGAAAGTAAAAGTTGGAGGTAAACTCCTATTCGTGTGGTATGTACTTGTATTTAAAAATCTGATTCCACATGTAAGGGAGGCTGGAAGCAACCCAAGAAATGTACTGAAGTAGCTCTTCCTGAAAAATAGTGGTAAGTATTATGCAGTGGGCAGGGATGCTCTTATGCTCTTCCTGTTCTTCTTCCTGTGAATGCTAATAAAGGTAAGCACAGGGTCATGCACCTATGTCAAAAAAAGGGAAAGAAATAAAGAAACAAACTGAGTCATACTCTAAAATGCAACATCCTCTGAATTATCCAGTTAATCTGGTGTTTGATTTTTTCTTTTAGAGCTTAAAGCAGAGGAAATTCCTTCCAGTGTGCTTTATAAAATGCTAGCTGGGCCGTTAATGATTAACAAATAAATAATACCGCCTACAGTTAACTTTTTTCTCCTGAAGACACTCCCTCTCTCTGTAAATCTGCCACGTTGCTTCTGATTGGAATGCTGATAAATGAAATCAGATGCAAGCTTTAAGTATTAGTTTGAAATGAATGAATGAAATTGCTGTCATTCAATTTAAGACCTCTGAGTATACCTGTGACAATCTGGAACTTGAGGTAGCTTACGGCTTGAAGTCCTTGGGGTTCAAAGCCACAATTCACAAGAGCCTCGAATAAAGTAATAAAAGACGCTGCCTAGTATGACTTTTTTACACCCATCATGATGTACACTTCAAAAATGTTTGGTTTTCATCTATTATTTAATAATCTTTACTACTGTTCGGGGAGATGTTAGACAAATAGGTTTTTGTTGTCTTTTTATCTTTCCGTTTTTTTTTTCCAGAAAGCAAATGGAGTCTCTTTATGCCATTAACCAAAGTGACTTCTAAACAAAGAGGCAATTTAACAGCATTCCCACAGCATTGCATTCCAACTTAACCCTGTGAAGACTGCAGTGTGAAAACCCAGATGATCAAATAACTGTTACTTTACTGGGATTCTAGTAAACAATTACAGACATGAAATACCACATTTTTTTGCAATAACATTATTCAAGAATATAATTCCAGCAGTAAAGAGCTCTTGTAACAGTCTTTCTACCCAGCTTGTACCTCTGATTGATTTCTTTATTTTACATAACATTCATTTAGTGGAAGTGAATGATGTACACTGTCAGAATGGTAGTGTAAACCAGAGCTTTTTCAGGATAGGAAGTAAACTGTAACATCAAAGGAATATGAGGAGTGGAATGGCTGCTGCATAGAGTGGCAGGGTTCTTCTCATTCACTGCATTTTTTACAAACTACTTATTTATTTTCTATTAAACTGCCTGCTTCAGTATTTGCCACTTTCACAGCTGGGTGTGTTAGTGATTGCACCCCAAACCTCATCTCTCAAACATAACAGGCTTTTGTTACATCAAGTAAAACAAAAGTACCATATAATTCAGATTGCTCAGTGTTCTCTCCCAGAGCATTCAATATATGCAGAAAAATTCTATATTAGTAGTGAGGTAAGAAAGAAACAAACGTTTATGTTTACCCTGAAGTCATTTTAATTCTTCTCTGCTTGCTCGGGCAAAGTTACTATATTTATTCTTTTTCTAGAATAAGCACATTTTTGCCCTTTTCAACAAAGACACTTATGTTTTAACAGTTACTGCTCTTTTCAGCCTTACATTCGCCAGAAGCTATAGTTGGTCATGTCAGTGTTTAGAAAAAACAATGTACACAAACTTTATTCTTATCATCTGTTTACGCTTCATGAGATTGTCACAAAATCTTACATGAAATAAGGGACTTAAAATAAAAATGACATAGCCAAACGTTATTTTTACCTACTAGTAATCAGAATAATGGCTAACACTCCAAATTGTTTGAGGCAGTTCCTTAAAGCAAACATGAATGTTACTGCTTCCTCTTTAAGCAGTGTTGTGCAGATGACTGTACTGGCTTTTCCTTCCACTTTTTTTGTGAAACATGAGATAATATGAACTCACTCATTTGCTCTATTTTTATTCTGATAATGTGTATTAATGACTGCACTTAGCGAAGAAGGAGCTTTCATATCCATTCATTCAGTGAGTTGGCTAATTAACAACAGTAGCAATAGGTACATATACCATACCAGGACAATGTTTCTACATGTTCTACATTAATTCTCCTCATTGTCCATTTATCCCTTTTATTATTTCTAAATATATCATGGTCTCCATCTACTATTCACTGGTTAGATTTCAGCTTTTCTATCTTTCTTCCCTTAAATCAGCAAAACTCAACCCTATCCCTCTGTCCACAGAAGGAAGACTCCAGTGACCACACAGCTCAGCACAGCAGAAAAGCTTTGCTTTGAAAAGAAGACAGGATGGCTCTACTTGCTGTTATCGAAGTGTTAATATCCAGTAACCTACTACAAAAAACCAACACAACAGTATGCTTCAATGTAAATCATTAATCATAGAATCATAGAATCATAGAATCATAGAATCACCAAGGTTGGAAAAGACCTAAAAGATCATCCAGTCCAACCGTTCACCCATTCCCAATAGCTCCCACTAAATCATGTCCCTCAACACAACATCCAGCCTTTCCTTGAACACCCCCAGGCTCGGTGACTCCACCACCTCCCTGGGCAGTCCATTCCAGTGCCTGACCACCCTTTCTGAAAAGTAATACTTCCTCATGTCCAGCCTGAATCTCCCCTGCTGTAGCTTGAAACCATTCCCTCTGGTCCCTCTGTCACTAATGACACGAGAGAAGAGGCCGACCCCCAGCTCCCTACAACCTCCCTTCAGTAAGTTACAGAGAGCAATGAGGTCTCCCTGAGCCTCCTCTTCTCCAGGCTGAACATTCCCAGCTCCTTCAGCCTCTCCTCATATGGCCTGTGTTCCAGATTAATGTAGTAATTGTCTCTTGTCTCCTGGGAGCCTTGACAGCCATAACATCAATGGAGTTTTAGAGTAGAGCAGTGCTCCACTCAACCATACAAACCATCTCACCACCCAGTTAAATATACTATATCTACTAGAAAGAAAAGAAATAACACTCACTCAATAAAGTAGACTTCCCCTTTTTCTGTATAAGCCATTTCCCAGTTATCAGGCAGTGGGCCCAAGTCATCATTCTCTTCAGGCTTTGTTTGTTTTGTTACATCCATATCCTCCTTTGCTTCTTCAGGCTGAGTATATCCTGGTGCAGGGCACGGTTGGGTAGAAGATACTTCACCTGAGACACCTGTGCTCTTGTCTTCATGTTCACTTGATTCTACAAGAGAAGAAGAATTACAGTTTTTGGATATTTAAATTAATGATGGATGATATACTGGGTGCAAGTCTTCAACAAACATTCTACGAACTGCAAGTCTTTAAAAAAAAGAGAAATTATTGGATTTACACAGCAGTTCCTCTGATGATACATTTTTTATCTGGAACACAATAAAAGAAAGTAAAGCAATAAAAACAAACTGAAACAAGAAACTAATAAAGAGCTAAGAAATGAGCCAAAGAGTTCTTGCTTGTTTTGTCCCAGGAGTCCTTCCTTCAGCAGTTAACATTGAGCAAAACGCAGCCTCATATCCAGCAGAGATACTGTCTTGTGTCTCATAACTTTTCAGAATACACATCCATCAAGCAAATACCCTGTTCTGCTGCAGAAAACAGATCATTTTCAATTAAAAAAGTAAATGCACACATAATATCCATAGGTAAAGAAAACAATGGGACATTCATTAATTCACAGCTATATCTAAGCCATATATAAAGTGGTTGTGATTTCAGTCCCAATATAATCTGTGGGATTTTCCACAATGACAAATGCCTTCTATACCCTCTGTATGGAATCATAGAATCATAGAATCACCAAGGTTGGAAAAGACCTAAAAGATCATCCAGTGCAACCGTTCACCCATTCCCAATAGCTCCCACTAAACCATGTCCCTCAACACAACATCCAGCCTTTCCTTGAACACCCCCAGGCTCGGTGACTCCACCACCTCCCTGGGCAGTCCATTCCAGTAATTCTGTGTCGTCGTGACCCAGAACGTATGGAGGAAGAAGTCTTCCTTTCCTAACCTTTTTTCAGTGCGTGGTCTTTTAGTGTTCACTGATATTACTTTATTTGTCTTACTACTGCTAACTCCAAGAAAGGATGCTTGAGATAACTTGTTCTACTAAAGAGATTTCCTCATCCTTGGGATGAATACACTTGGCTGACTGGTCTGTAGCCATGTGTTTGTATCATTTGGTCTATCTACCTATCATTTCCTCCAAAAATGGGATGGGAATCTGTTGCTTCAATGAGAGAGGCTCTCATCCTTGGACCCTGGATCCTTGTTTTCTGCTGCACTTAAGTGGAGCTTGATCACACTGAAGCAGAAAAGACCCCTGTATTTGACCAAATGAACTACAGCTAAAATAAGTTCATATTTTGAATGTATTTGCTGAACCTCCACTGACTGTGATTTCGGCTGAAATGACCCTACATATTGAGATGAGTGGGCTGGCTGACGGATGACCACACTCTTACCTCACCTTCTCAGCAACACAAAGAGAAGAAAATACAATGAAAAAATGCTAGGATCGAGAAAAGGAGATGAACAATGCTCTCCAATTGCTCACTATCACAGGATTGTACAAAAGGCTAAAAAGAAAATGAAATTGTTCAGCATGAGCACTTAAAAAAAAAGCACAGGCATGTAACAGTAAAATAGAGCAAGCAGCCTAGAAAATGGGATATGGCCAGGAACATGAAAAGTAACAAGAAAACTTTCTGTAAGTACATTAATAATATGAAGACTAAAAGCAGATTCATTCCAATACGTGGGAAGGAAAGCTGATAACATATGATAAATATAAAACCACAAGGCAGTTAATACTCATTTTGCCTCAGTCACTACTGCAAAAAGGTTACCTATGATTAAATGACTAACATAATTAACGTCAACAGTTGGGCTAAAGAAATCAGATTAGAATGGACAGAGAACGGGTCAGGTATAATTTAGATGAAGCAGCCATTTGCAATTGGCAGAGCCTGATGAAATGAAACCTACGCTACTTCATGAAACAACGAAACAGACTCATGGCTAGTAGTGAATACACATTTTGAGATTCTACAGAGACAAGAAACTTCAGAAGGACAGAAAGTCTTGGTTTCCATATTTTAGGTTTCTAGATAGTTTAGATTCTTAATTTCTGAGCACTAATCTCCCTCCAAAACAATTAAGTCATTCTGTAAAAAGGAGAAGCTCGGCTAATGAAACTGTAATCACAGAATCATAGAATTGCCCAGGTTGGAAAAGAGCTTAAGGATCATAGAGCCCAACCACAACCTAACCGTACTACCCAAACTAACAGCCCCGAGCACTACATCTGAATGACTTTTAAACACATCCAGGGACGGTTACTCAACCACCCCCCTGGGCAGCCTATTCCAGTGCTTAATAATCCTTTCAGTAAAGAAGTTTTTCCTGATATCCAACCTAAAAACTTCATGTCTATCTATTTTTAATTCCTAGAAGGACATTGGGACTAGCAGTCCAACCACCTGCACATAAGCTCTTCAAGGGAGGTGGTGAATAATTGTCAAGATTTAGCACGAAGGAATTGTGCCAAACTCTTTTATTATTTTTTTTATTTTTTGACAGAGTACCAGATGTTGTTCCTTACAGAAAATGGTAGACTAGCTGTCATTATCTTAAAAAAAAAAAAAAAAAAAAAAAAAAAGGCTTTTGACACATATATTAGATCATGTCTCAATCAGAGTGATGGTCTATAGCTTTACAGCCACATGCAGCTCATGCTGCTAAATGCTTGTATTTTAACTACTTGCTACTAGTATTTTATGCTGTTGGGAAATGTGAGTCTGTCTGTGGGAACAAATGAATTAGCAAGAGGCACAAGTGCAAGCTGCAAGTTTTGCTTAGCTGAATCCCATAAAAAAGCAGTAGGATCCAAGGGGAGATGCAGTCACCTGTTGCTTATGTGCCACTCACAAACTTCCCCTTGTTTGGCTTTCCAAATTCTGCTGCAAAATGCCACAATCAGTTCTAAAAATGGAGGTGGGGAGCAAATGTCTAGAAAGAGAAAAGAGATTCCTAACAAAAATACAGCAGAGGTATAGGAATGTGTGAGGGACATCTATCCATTATGCTCAGTCAATAATAATACTATTCCAAAAGGAGAGCAAGCATCATAGTACATAGGAAGAGTGAGAAAGAATATGCAATGTAGATCCTTTCATCTTCATCTACAGAAGGTTTTCAGCAGAAGCACAGAGCCCGTTTTCAAGATTTTAATGTCAATGGAAATTTTTTTTTATTTCTAATTTCGAACAGGTGGATATGCAGGGCATTTTGGTATTATGGAGGATAAATTACCTCTACATGCACCAAGAAAAGGATAATGTAATTGATGATAAATTCATTTCTATAAAGTAAAAGTGAATCTTCATCTGTTTTAAGCGTCATTGAGAGCACTGTGAATTGTTTTCTACACAAGTCCTGACCACATTTCTACTGTGGGAATACTGATGCACAGATTAAATGAGGTCAAGATATAAAGTCAGATAGCACATGTGACAGCAATAGAAAAAATAAACTTGGTGTATGTGTGCACTGTAAATAAGTATGTGTGCACTGTAAATAATAACGGCCAGCCCATTGGTCTGATAGGCATGGTGATATTGCTATGTCCTAGGATTTTAGCATGATATCTGTAATATGTGTTCTTTCTCAGGATTTTATTTTCTACAGGTCTGAAGAAGTCAGATTCTTAGCTTTTGACAGCTATATTAACAAGCTGACAGAAAAAAATGTGACAATTAAACCTTGAGGACTACAAGAAATATTTTCAGCCTGTCTCAGAGTTTGCTATCAAAACAAGGTGGAAATAGAGGTACCTAATGCTTATTTAACAGTTAAAAATATAATTATGTTAAAGCCAATCTCGTGAGTTATTAATTTTTGAATCATTATTTTTAATAGTTTGTTTTAGTAATAAAAAAGTATCTTGTGAATAAAACCCAAGCAATTACGGAAGCATTACTTAATGTCATTTAATATCATTTAGTTTTACACAATGGATGTCCTACTTGTTGGTTATCTGGAATGCAGCATTACAATGGTATTTCATCTTTTTCTACACGTATCTATCCTTCATATATTCCAGAAAGCGTACATATTCACCTTGCTGTTTTTTTTTTTTTCCTTTTTCCTGTTTACATATATTCTTACATAATATTTTATTTGATAAAAAAAGCAGAAGTCCTGGTTAAAAATTGGTAGTGCCTTAAACGTACAACTAAAGCTTGAAATAGTATAGTAATATGCTAGAGCACAAGTATCTATCATCAGATAACATCTGATACAAATACAAACCCTAACACGTCCAGAAATACTTTTGTCACTGAAAAATGCAATTGACTTTTCATCAAGTGAAGTCGTCTACTACAAAACAGATTACATGGCCCAGTTTTCTAAAATAATTTAGCACAGTATCTCAGAGAGTGTTCTGTGAAGTGGCAGAATAGGCACCAGCAAAACACCAGCAAATTATTCCATGTGTAGAATACAAGAAACACTGGGGAAAAAAGTCACAGAATCATAGAACGGTTTGGGTTGGAAGGGACCTTTAACTTCCTAACATTAAATAGTCTAAGTCCATCTCTGTAGTATTTCAAATATCAGCAGTGAAAAATTTTACTGGATGAGATGATATATTCTCTATACAGCCCTTACACAATATTTTGGCTATTTGTTGAACTTGAAGATACACAAGTCTATAGGATATGATGAGATGAATCTGAGGGTCCTGAGGGTACTGATAGATGAAATCACTAAGTCACTATCCATCATTCTTGAGAAGCCATGACAATCTGGAGTCTGCCACTGACTGGAAAAGGGGAAACTTAACCCCCATTTTTAAAAAGGTAAAAAAAAAAGAAAAAAAAAAGACCTCGGAAACTAGAGTCCAGTCAGTCTCCCCTCTGTGCCCAGCACAACCATGGAGTAGATCGTCCTGCAACCTATACTAAGACACAAGGACAACAACGAGGCAATTGCTGACAGCCGACACGGCTTCATTAAGGGCAAATCATGCCTGTCAAATTTACAACATTACAACATTAGAAGATAATGGAAGAGCAACTGAAGTCATCTGCTTGGACCTGTACATAGCACTGTCCAGAATGGCTTTCTTGTTTCTAAATTGGAGGACATATATTGATGGGTGGACCACTTGTAAGATAAGGATCTGATTGAATGGCCACAGTCCAAGAGTTGCAGTCTGTGGCTTAATGTCGAGCGGAGACTGGTGATAAGTGGGTTCAAGAATTGGTGGTATTGGGGCTGGTACTGCTCAACATCTTTCTTCGTGGGACCTTAAATATCATCAAGGTCCAGCCATAATGCCATGGACTTGGGACACCTCATCCTGCTTCTTTGGGAATCTGTTCCATTGCCTCATCACCTTTTTAGGAAAAAAAATTCTTCCTAACATCTAATCTAAATGTACCCTCTTTTAATGGATACCAGTTTAGATATTTTAAAAAATCTTATGGCTCTTAAGTACCTTCTATTTTATTTTCTTTCCTCTGGCTGCCATGGCTATGCAATAATAAAAGAGCTAGTTTAAACTGTTCTCTAGGACTGCCGCACCTTGTGTAGTGACTGACAACACTGGGATTTTAGCCTTTTGCTTCATTTTCAACCTAAGGCATGGAATGATCATTCTGAAACTCCATGTCATATCTTATCCTTCACTTCATTTGAGCCTGCCAGAACTTCCATTCTCTGGGTGCAACTTACCATTCCCAAGTAACGTCAGATTATTATACATTCATAAACATTCTTCTGACACTACACTGATTCTTTTGTAGTTTGGATGACAAACACTTCATCAGTCAGAAGCGTGAAGCAAATATGACCAGCACAGTGTCAGATCATGACACTGGTTGGGAAGAAGACTGACTTAATTCTCTGCAGACACAATAACAACAGTAGTGAAATCTGAATGTCTGACAAGTAGGTTGCTGTTTGACCGAGCATCTTTTTATCACTATTGTCATGATATTTGCAAAAATCTTTGATTTCATTACAGTGTTCATCAGAAAAGGTTTTTCAGGTGCAAGATACCTCATCCAGATCAGTGAATGGCAGAAACCTAACTCAGAACAACCAGAATTCCAGAAATTGCATTAGGAGTGGGAAACCCAGCACTAACTCTAGAGTTGGCCATTTCAATAGCTGAGTACAGATTACTTCTGTCATTGCTGTTTTGCAAGTAGTAGGATTTCTCATCTAAATCTAGCCACCCAGGCTCCTGTATATCTCTAGGCTGAACTAAACATCCTAGGTTGTAAAGGTAGTACCTAAAAGGAGTACCTCAAACATCTATGCTCTGTTAATCTTTCTCCCTTCTATCAAGAAAGAATAAATAGCTCTAGCAAAAACTAAGACATTTAGATGCATCATTTACTATACAATCCATTTCTCATTAGATACTATTGTGTGCTGACAGTACTTGATCTGGGATTAAGGACTGAGATGTCATCTTAAGATGGCCAAACACCTCACCCTAAAGTTGGTTTCGTGTTGGGTTTTAGGATGAGGATAAGTGACAAAAATCGGAAAGAAAAAACACATTTTACAACACAAGTTAACAAGAAGACAATTATGCATATGGACCAGTCTGTCTATGTACAAAAGTCCAAGGGAACTTTGGCCTGTGAATGAAAAACTGAATCCTACTTATAAAACTGTACACATGCATAGATTATTATCTCAACAAACACTGAAAAGTGGTCTGAAAAATCAGAATCAAGGCATAAAGATCTCTGTATCTACAGATATTGCTTATTGGCCTGATAAACACAGGTTTATTTCCTTTGATTCATCTTAGATCTGCTACTCTTTTGCCTTGCAGTCCTAGGTATTAGAGCAGCCCTTTGCCTGGCCAGCACTCTGATCACTTTGGCAGTTAATAAGATGTAGAGTTGTTGAGTATTTGTAAAAAAAGTATCAATGTCTTAGATGTCCTAATAGCCTTATATTTAATAAAAAAATCTCCATTTGTAAGTGAGACGTTTAGAATAGAACTTACTTTCTAAACGAACTAAAATAACAAACATATTGCCCTAGTTGTATCTTTCTAAGAACCAACAAAAACAAACAAACCAAAACAAAAAAACACACAAAAATTAACACATTCTATTTTCCCCCACTGTTCAAAGATACAGATGACAAATGCATGTAATTCTAGAGGCAGCTAAGGCTCTGACAGTTGACAGAGAAAATGACTGCAGTAACAGAGCCTGTGGGAGCTACACACCCCAACAAAAGCAACACAGCATGTATGTACAGAGCTGCTTTCTACAATCCCCAAAGTCCTCAATCAGTGTGAGTGAACTACAAAACCCTGCTTATGAAACCATGAGCACCAACACAGGCACTGCTTGTTCTGCTGGCCACACCTACAGGAATCACTTTGTGGGGGGTGAGGAGGGGGAGGAAAGAGGTTGTACTCCAGTGCTTGTGTGTTTCGTTTTTTAACAGAGCGCATGCCAGCAGCTGCCTAGTCATTGTTCTGATCACACAGAATTTGCCTGGGAGATGCCAGTCAGCGGTGGACAATGCAAGGAGAAAAGCAGGTACACATCTCCCCTTGATCCATCTAGAACTGAAACACTGCACCAGAAATTACTCCTGAGCAATGGTAGGTTAAGTGGCACATTTCAAGTAACTGCAAAGAATGCTCTTCCTAATGATTTCCACAATACACATCACACACCAAATCCTGCCTTTGCCTCTGTCACGCTGGAAGTATCCTGGCAACAGAGCCAGTGCTGATGTTTTATGTAAGGATTTCTGGGCTTCACCCATTTATGCTGAGCTGTATAGGAAAGGCACTAAGTGCCAGGGCATTGCCAGCAGATGTGGGGAAGGGATGAGCGAGGCTCAAACAGCAATGTGACAGGAACTCCAGGTTGTCGTGTTGCAGCCCTCTGGTGTGCAGAATGAGGCCCACTCCCACCACACCTCTACCTGCCAGCCCTTTGGACACAGAGATGGATTTGGCACTTCCACATAATATTAGTCAGCTACTACAGAAAAGCAAGTGACAAATACATCTGTGGTGGAAGGATAACCAATTCAATACACTTTACAATGCAGAAGGAGAAGAAAAGAACACATAGAATCTGCAGTATGAAAATCCTTTTTGCAGTGCTTAGGAAATTAGGTAGTGGATTTATTGTTTCAGATACCCACATGTTTATAGAACTCCTTATCTTCTTGTATGTGTGGCTGTCATTACAGACTTCTATTTCAATCATTTATTCCTGAATTTCTAAGTTAACCAAGAATAATTCACAGTTATGTATTTCTCAGAGATATAAATGTCTGAATTCTTTAATTTCCTACTTGAAGAAAAAGTAATTTCTTACATGTTATTTCAGAATCAAAAGGATAAAGTACTTTGAAATGCTGACTCGCTGCAGTATTGAAAGGGAAGCTGACTGGGAAAAGCCTGGGCTTCTCTCACTCAGGATACCAGTCTGTATCTTCAGCCCCTTTTTTCTGAAGAATTATAATCCAAAAGGTAAAACAACAGTTGCCTTTAGACATCTGAAACCCTTATCAGCTTTATGCAGCATCTGAAATGTTGCTGGAAAGGGTCCTTCTTGATAGTGTTGCCTGCTAAGTTTCATCAGCACTGTCACAAATTTATTAATGTGATGACAGCTTTACTCTTACATTGCAAAGATTTAATAACAATTTATAAATGTTCCCCTTATAATAACCTAGTTAACTCTGCAGTGAATATCAGCTTCTGAGAACAAAGAAACCTGAAGCACCGAGACAGGATTAATTTGATCAAATTGCAGTTCTCTAGACTCCTTCTATGGTCAATAAAGAGAAAAAGGTGCTTGGGTTTGATTTCCTAACATACAAATCTAAAACAAATCATCAGAACTGCAATCATTTTCCCTTCAGACTGTAGAGTGGTTTCAGGGCGATGAGCTCACAGGAAGACCTGACTGTAGCTGAGGTGAGTCTCCAAAATGGAGGTGAGGCATTTTGTTTAATGTTTGACAGGGATTCTTTCACTCAGAATTCCTGGCTTCCAGTTATGCAAGACTTACTTGAGCATACATATTCTCATTGTAGGAGATAACTGGGGAATTTGTGAATAACAGAAATGCACTGCAAACTAAGAAGTAAGAACAGACCTGGTGTTACTGTCACATCATTTCCATTGACCACAGGTCTTTCTTCCTCTTCTTCCTCAGGTGGTTCAATACCTGTCTTCTCCATATTGCTCACAGACTTATTCCTCTTACGTTTGCCTTCAGCCCCAGGAGTGGCACCTGGAAGGATCTGGTCAGTTACATTTACCAATAATGGAGCTGGTTCTGCTGGAGGCTTCGGTGTGCCGTAATAGTTGTCTGGAAAGACAAGAGAAATTAAAACACACAAATTAACAGAGGTGAATCTGCTATTTCTCTTTCTCTTGGTTTACATTAATGGCATTTTCTGCTGTAGGATCCAGTTCATGAGATAATATGAGTTCTAAAAGTTTTCCACCAAGTTAAAACCTTAATTTTCATGAAATAGTGTTTTTTTGATGCCAACACTGGTGAAAAAATCATGCTCATAAATTCACACTTCTTGGAAGTTTAACAGGGTAAATTAATATTTCTCTCACCCAAATACCTAAGAAACAGGCAACATATCAGAGCTGTTTTCTCATTTCAAGCTACTAGTTAAGACAAATTAACATTTATGCCACAGTACAAGAGTTTGTATCAAAAGGAGCATCAAAAGGACCACAAACATATTGATTACTCACCAAATTACATCATTTTCATACCTCCTAAAATTATATTACCTGCTTGGAAAGCAAATAATTATTCAGTGATACAGAGATTTGCAGTTTCCAGTAGTACCTGCACTATCTCATTTTTCATATTTGTCAAAATTTTGCTATTCATGAGCAAACCTTCTTGTAATAGTTAATGCTAATGTATTTTCAAAGAAAGATGAAACTTTATGCTTTGAGGCTTAAAATTATCAGAGTACTAAGAAACTCTGAGAAGATTTAAGGTGGCTGACAGATTACTCTCTATTTGTCTCATGAAATTTCTGGCAACTTCTGAATCATCCACTTTCTGTCAGAAGGATCATTAGATTGGGTGGACTACGGTGTGATCTTATCTATCTATATGGGTTTGCTTGCATTTTTAGCATGTCTAGTCTCAAAAATGATAGCTCAAATGTGTATGGTTAAAAACAAAATATTAACATAATTAAATAAAAGAATGTTGAAAAATATTAGTGAGTCCTTTGAGGAAGAGAATATAAAGAATAATAAAAGACATAAAGACATACTATTTATACAAAGTTATTTTTTGTCATCTAAAATTTACCTTGAAGGGCAGTGCACGTGCCTTATCACTAGATTTTCCACAGTTAATAGGGGAAAGTAAATATACTGCCTAGCTCTGAGATACTTTTCCAAAGGAAAAAGCACCTACCTAAGGAAGGTGCTGAATGTGTTTCTAGACCACAATTTAGAACTTCAATCAAATAATAACTTAACTTGCAAGAATGATTTCATCTACGTTAGGAGTGTAAAACAGACACAGAACTGCATTAATCTGTGCAGTAAAGCATCGTAAGAGGTACTTTGCAGGTAGAGTAAATATTATTTCTGGCATTCCTGTATGTTCCCAGTGAATTACAGTGTTCAGCCACATGACCACTTCAATATGGGTAAGTAACTGAGCAGACTTACAAGTACTGAATACTTTGAATTTTCACAGTGTTTTAGCAAAATATTATTCATAACAGCTGTTTCTGTAATTGTAATACAGTACAGGAACTTAGCGTGTTAAATGGCCTTCATGCTCACTGGCTTAGGGCTGAATGAAAAACTGACCTGTTGAAGATTTTTTTGTGATCTTATGAGATGGCAGCAGGTATAATATGGAACCCAGATGTCAGTGAGGAGTGAGCTGTGCCTTCACATGGCTAGTTGTTGTCTGTCCTCCTATGCTCTAGTTTCTCTGATTAAGGGAGCTAAAGAAGGGAAGTGGGACTTTAGGTCTAAAAGAGGAAGGGAAATATACATTGTTGCGCTTGCAAAACCATATCTCCAAAAAATGCCAAAATCAGACCTGGTCACTGTCAGACTTCCAAGCTCTGAAGGTCCAATTACTGTCCTGTTTGGGGTATTTTGAGAATACCTGAAAACTGGTGGTCAAAGCACAGCTAAATTGAAAACCTAGTTTTCTACTTGTCTAAGAACAATAATGTCTTTGTTGGTAAGAAGCACTTCTGAAACAGTACATATTTTGAAAAAAAAAAAAAAAAGTTTGTCAAATCTAGAAAATTCCTCTGTAACCTAAACCCTTTTACCAGTCTGAAAGTCAAAGTGCTGCCATAAGCTTTAAAAAACTTGTCCACCAATTTCATAAATATCAGCTCAGAAATCTAAAGGTTATAGGTCTGATGTGATACAAACTGAAATTAAAAGTGTGGTGCCTTGGTTTTTGTCCTCTTGTTCTTAGATCTGCCATTGTCAAATGAAAGCTGCTGCAGTAGTAATTAGCACTAATGCTAATATTCGGAATGGTAGATAAGAGGATTAAGAATAAAAGACATTTTAAATCAAGGGTATGCTCATTCTATTTTTGGCTATTAAACACTTCATTTTGACTGACTGAATGTACGCATCACTGGGAGACAGACAAAAGTCATAACAAAAAAAGTCCATGAATATGATATATTGCAGAATTGTAGTTGTTGTAAAGGAACCTCTACAGATCATCTAGACCAGCCCCTTGCTAAAGCAGGCTCCCAAGAAAGTAGCTTACACTGCTTCAACCCAGGTGGGTTTTGAATATCACTAGAGAAGACTCCACAACCACTCTGGGCAGCCTGTCACCCTTACAGTAAAGGAGTTTGTCCTGATGTTTGTATGGAACTTCCTATGTTCCAGTCTGTGCCCATTGTTCTGTAGCTGGGTACCACTGAAGAGCTTTGCCCCATCCACTTGACTCCTGCACATTAGGTATTTATAAGCACTGGTCCCTTCTTAGTCTTCTTTTCTCTAGGCTGGACAGTCCCAGAAACACTGGACATTTAACATTAGAATCCAAAATAGATTCCGTTCTTTCAGTTTCTAACTGAAAATCTAATGCAATTTCCAACTTATGCACTCTGACATAAGACTGTATATTCTATGGTCAACCAACCATTGATTTAAAACTGAGTTTTGGACTATTATCTGTATCTATATCAAACGCATTTATAAGTAGTGCTAATAAAAATTACATAGTGGACCACATATCTTGACATAATCAGTTTATCTTAAAAATAATGAAAAAATCCATGGAGTTCCAAAGGAAAAAATATATAGAGGATGAGGACTAGGCATTTCAGTGAAAGAACAATGTTGTATTAAAAGAAAAAATAGAATCTTTGTCAATTATAACCTGCATTAAAAAAAAGAAAGTGTATCTTGGCCTTGAAATTCCTCAGCTAAGCCTTTGAGCCTTTGAGCTTACCACAAGAGGGCTTGCTATGGAATTCCCAACCTCAGTGGTAATGTGCTAGGCAAGTCAGTGAAGACAAAACATTATAATGATGGCATTTCCTCTCATATAGCCTAAGTAAATGTCGTATCTGGGCATAATGCAGAGACTAAATTTTTAAACAACATAACCTTTGCTCCAATGGTGTTTGGAAAAGCTATGATAAAAGCAGTTCTTTTATCTTGCCTGAGATAGATTCAAATTGATACTGTTGAAATACTCATAATAAGGCACTACAGTTCAGTTTCCTGCATGTACAAAAAGCACACCAAAGAAGTAATTTCAATTGTATTCAATTTAAAAAAGCCAACGAATTAATAAATAAATAAATAAATAAAGCTTACTGAAAGAGAAAACAGATGTTATGCTTATTGGTGGTAAAAAAAAACCACATAGAAGCTTAGGAAAAAGGAATGGAGCGCAAAAGAGAAAACACCTTTCCAGTATTACGGAAAACTCTATAGTACTTTCCCTTTTGAATGCTGCCTGCTGTTCCTGTCCTTGCCTCTCGAAAATTACATGCGGGAACTAAAGAAGGGCAATTAAAGCTTGGAACTGCTTAAATTGATTTGGATCTTTCAGCTTGGAAAACAGACAATGAAGGGGGATATGGCAGATATGTATAAAATCAGGAGAAACCTGGGAAAGTGCCTAGAAAATAAATGAATGGACGCCTGGCTTCTCACTGCATGGGAACAAGAGGATGGCCAATGAAATTAACAGATTTAAAATGAGCAAAGGAAATGTGGGTTTGTTTTTTTTTTTTCCTTCATAGTATGAGGAAATAGTGGCATTCACTGCCAGATGCAGCCAGTATCACAGAAACAGTCAAAAAGCAACAATACAAAGACAAAGAAGAAAGAATTGTGCAAGTCTATTAAATGTATTAAGAAACCCAGAATCAAGTATTCCATACAATAGAGATTGCTGAAGTGGAGATGTATCTCTGCATGCTAAGGGGTTGTAGGAGACGGGTGCAAGGTACAGTTCCCTTTGGTTTGGCTCAGTACTGCTGCCCTCTTCCTCAGGTATCTCCTGGCTGCACTCAGAAAATGTGTGCATGCTCCCTGCCATCCCAGCACGAAGGCAGGAGGTCAGCTGAAGACAGCAGCACTAAAGCTAAGCTCTTTGCATGAGACCTGGCTAAAAGCCTTCATACAGACAGGCAGTGCAAAGTGAGTATTTAATTGCAGAAATGCCACCCTGCTTAATCTATCTCACTGCTGTGCCTGCTTGTCTCAGTGCTCCTATTTCCAAGTGCAGCTGAACACTGGAGATGGTCTAACCTAACCTACCTGACTTTGCTGCTGAAATGGCCTGGAAGCCACAGTTACAGCTTCCGAGTGTTCCCTGCCACTCCTAAGCTGTATGAAAAGGTCTCCCTGATCTGCCAAGAGTCAGATAAAATTACTGGGGAGGTTTGCCCTGGTGACAGAGAACAGATCAGGAAATCAAGAGGAGCACAAAAGACAAAAAATGAAGAGGCTAACACCGTTGTATTTTTTCTTAACCTGAGCTCACCTATCTCAGGAAGTAGTACAACTTTTATCGATAAAGTATTTGATGATGAAGCAATAGATCTGAACTTGTTTCCTCAGAAATGGTAAGCCCTTTGGGAAAGAACAAATATTTTTTGGTGTAAGTACGGAAGCAGAAGAGTCATCATGCTTAAGAGATAACACAGCTCAGATCTAGCAATGTTCCCTATACTGATATGAAAACATCAAATACGTGGCACAGGGTGGGACATTCCACTTCTATTCCTTCTGCAGGGAGCAAAGAAGGGAAGTGAGGGGAAGGAGGGCTTTCTGTCAGATCTGAATCTCCGTCTTCAAGGAATCATAGAATCA